TATACGCATATATATATATATATATATATATAATTTAATCTTTCAATAATATTTTATGTAATAAATAATATGCAAATATCAATGCATAACACGCAATAAATGCTAGGTAGGAAGGTAAGGAAAAAACCTGAACTATCTTCAAGGTTAACTGTTGTTGATTGCAATTTCTACGCGCAAAATTTCATTTTAATTTTTACCTGAATTTACTCTCGTAGAATTTCCTGTAGTATTATCAACAGAGGCATTTCTTGCCCTTGTTATACCTATGCAGCCTCCCATCCTAGGTGGCTGATGTAACCAAACATTTCACTAAAATTTAACAACACCTCACATGCCATTTTCGTCCATCTTATCCACTGAATTACAAATCGGTACCATTAGAGGCGCTATAATCGAATCATTAGTAACCTAACCTGAAATATTAATTCATATAAATGGGTTTAAAACCTAAATAAAACAAGTTTTATAAACAATTTTTTAATAAATCTAATATTCTACTAAGACGCGTCACGCGAAATAATTCTTATCAAATTATTTTATGATTCAAATATATTTAATAATTTTAAATCAAAAAATTAATCACGATTATATTTGATAAAATTATATTTTATTAATATATTAAGGTTAAGTAACATAGAAAGAAGGCATGGTTTACAATGGCTTCACTTACAAGTACTGTTTTTAAAGAAAGATTTCTTACTGCTTTTAAAGAAGACGAAACACTGAACATAACATGCCAACAGATCGCTTTAGGTGTGTATTAATTAGCATGATTGTTCTTCCTCTACATATAGATAATTGGCCTTGATTTTTAAAGCAAAAACTAGAAAACTTGTTTGTAGTTCATTAAAATATTATCTACATTTATTTACATTAATAAAAATAATATCTTTATTAGAATTATTAAATTTGTAAATTATTGAAATATTTGTTTAAAATTTATTTTTCTTAAAAATAAATAATTTTCTAAAAAATAAATAATTCTTTTTTAATTTAGAAATACAATCTGGATATGCAAAACTTTATACAGTTGTGGAAGAACTTGGACCTTTTGTAACAGAAAAAGATGTTAAAATACGAGAAAAAGGCATTTGTGCTCTTTCTATTATTTTATTTTATTTACCAAAAGATTTTTTGAATGAAGCTGAATTGGGTTTTATAACATCATTTTATTGTGATAGATTAAAGGATCATCATAATATTATACCAGCAGTATTAAAAGGAATTTTATCAATTGTAAGTTTTGCATTTATTAAAATTATATTTAATTGTAATAATTATATAAATGAATAATGATTCTTTCAGGTTCAAATGACTCATTTGCCTAAAGATTCACCTGCACATTTATTCAGAGCTCTTTTTGAAAATGTTCAGTGCCAATCTCAATTATTACTTGATCGTAGGAATATATATTTCATATTTATAACATTATTGGAAAATAAAATAGAAGATTTAAAAGCTATGGGACCAGATTTTATTTATGGAGTTATTAGTGCTATAGATGGAGAAAGGGATCCAAGAAATCTTATGCTATTATTTAGTGCACTTCCAAAATTTATAAAAGAATTTTCACTAGGCCATTTAACTGAAGAAATGTTTGAAGTCATTGCATGTTACTTTCCAGTTGACTTCAATCCTGTAATTAAATCAACCAATCAAGATTTTAATTATACATCATTTATGAATATGAATTGTAATTTGACTTGACATTTTTCAGTCTGGAACAGAGGAAATAGGGATAACACGTGATGATTTGGCAGAAAAACTGGCACCTTGTCTTTGTGCTATACCAGAATTTGCTGAATTCTGTATACCACTTATAATTGATAAATTATTCTCTAATCTTAAGATTGCCAAGATGGATTCTTTAAATTTATTGTGCAAAGGTACACCAATATTTGGTGTAAAAGGCCTTGAACCACATTTGACTGAATTATTTATTGCTTTAAAAAAAGAAATTATACCAGGTGCAGATTTAGAATTAAAAAATGCAAGTTTGAAGGCAGTTATATCTTTAATTGAAATTATATCAAGTGATGTTAAACTTTGTAAAAGTTTTATTGATGATATAATCACAAATGTAAATTTATCTATGTATGATGTGCAACTTAGTTTATTTAGACCAACTGTAAAATTGTTGGAATGTGTGGCAATGGTCAATAAAGAATCATGTACAGAAATATTAAAAGTAATAGTACCATTATCTCTTGGTCAATATTCTACTGATATTTCAATAATTAATAAAGTAATTTTAATTGAAACATTAAATACTTTTATTAAAATTGCTTCTGATTATGGATTTACTATCAAGGGTGAATATATATCTCATATACTTTGAGATATGTATTAAAAATTATTTTAATTTTAATATAAAATAATAAAATTTTTTTTAGATATTCCAGAACTAGCATGGACAGATATACCAAATTTATATTTAAATGAATTATCAACACAAAATACAGAATTACAATCTAAGATATTGTTTGGTTTAACAATACAAAAAGCATATTTAAATAAAACACATCGCACTCTAATTTATGATAAAATTTATAGTTTGAGTGAAGTGAGATATAATGAAATAAAAATACTTTGTCATTCGTGTCTTATAAGTTTTGCTACATTATATCCAGATGAAATATTAAATTTAATTAAAGAAAAATTTCAATTAACTGGTAATCTAATAAATTTAATAATTGAAGTATGATTTAGAATTTTATTTTATTTTAAAATAAAATTTTATCATTTTAATTGTTTCAGGTGAAGAGAAAGTAGAAATACAAATTCATAAATTAGAAGTACTAGCAGCTGTTGCTAAAACGTATAAATTAGCTATTGAAGTTCTTCCTCAAATTGTATCACAAACAGATATTGCAAATTTTGATATAAGCTTTACAGCTTTAACATGTCTTCACAGGCTAGTTGCTACAAAAAATATTGATTATAATATACAACATTATCTATATTATGAGTGTAATATAATTCAAAAATTGATTGCACTTAGATTTAATCCTATAGATCAAAGATTAGATATAGTTTTAAATATTTGTCGATTAATTATACGAAATTTAACACTTGAAGAACAACAAAATCTTATTAATAAATATTCTTCAGTTTTGAGTGAACAAGTTTCAGAATTTGATGCTATTTTTGTAATGAATCTTTTCATTCCTTTACGTCAAAATGTTGATTTTATAATAAATTTAAATTTATTACAAAATCTCTATAATTTGGCATTTAATAATAATTATTTAAATATAAGACTTATAACGCATAAATTTATTGCTGTAATATTAAACAAAGTTAATGATAATGACGAATCGTTTTTATGTATTTTATCATATTTCAAAGAGAAAATAAATAATAATTTGAATTTAAATGTTAATACTGAAATAATGAAAGCAGCAGTTTCTTTACAAATATGGTTAACAAAAGCTATAATTACAAAAGGTTCTTGTAATATTGAAATATTTTTGAATGAAGTACGTAAAAATTTTTGATATTTTTAAAAAATATTTTATAAACAACATGTAATATTTTTTTAATACTGTATTCACAGCTTACCAATATTTTAAAACATGATCAAATAGGTCAATATGTAGCACAAGAATATAAAATCTTAACAAATAGGCATGAAGATACTTTGATAGAAGAAAATTTCTGTAATGTTAAAATTTTATATAAACAAAGAGTATTTGAACATTTAATTAAAAAAAATTTTGAATTTGAAAATATCTCAAGACAGAACTATTTAAGTGCATTAGTACAGCTATTAGAAGAAGTACCTGTAGAACTTTTCTTTATGTATTTATCTAAGGTATTGATTATATATTAACAATTTATAGTATATATTAATTTATAGTATATATTAATCTTTATTTTTTTCAGCTGGTCCCTCTTTTAATAGAATCTTTATCTCTTGACAATGAACAATTACTTTTTTTAACTTTAACAACATTGAATCTTCTTTTAGAGACTAAACATGATATTTTTTCTGATAAAATACAATGTTTTATTCCGAGATTGTTAAACTTATCTACTTATAAAACAATGGTAATATTTTAAGAAATTATTAATTTATATTTATAATATAAATAAATTATTTTATGAATATTTTCATTTATATTATTTTAATTTTGTACATCTTATTTTATTTAATATTTTTTAATTAATATTGCAGAGAGTCAGAATAGCAGCTTTAGAATGCCTAACAAATTATTGTAAATATCCAATTGTTTTAATCAATACATATAAACAAGATGTATTAGAAAAATTATCAATATCAATTGATGATCGAAAACGTTTAGTGCGAAAAGCCGCAGTAAAAGCAAGAACAAAATGGTTTTTAGTTGGTGCGCCAGGAATATTAAAAGAATAATGATCTGTTTTATTTTAATTTACATGAAATTTATCACAATAAAGTCTTTTGTAATTTATAAATGTATACATTTATTTTTACTTAATATAGATAAATTTAGTTATAATATTGTTTTATATATTTTCAAAATTATATATACAAATCTTTTATATATTCATTTATATACAATATTCCAAACAAATGATTTTTTTTATTGTACTTTTTCCTATAAGACTAAAGAAATTGATTCATTATATTATGTTTGTTCTATATATTGTACATAATGTATATAATTGAATAAAGAATTGATTTCTATAATGAGATTGAAACCTGAAAGTTACTCTTAATACATTTAGTATACTAGAAACATGGGTGATGGTAAGACTTAACTTACACTGATTTTCTTTTTCTTTTTTTTTTTTTAATTTTAGAAATATAAAAAAAATATATGAAAAATATGTATAGTATTAAAATCTATTCATAGGTATAGTAAAAAATGGTGCATATAAATATGAAGATGGTACAAAATATATTGGAGATTGGAATGCAAAAGGATTAAAGCATGGTGCTGGTTCTTTATTGCTTCCTGATGGAACACGTTATGATGGAGGTTTTCAAAATGGACTATGTTCTGGTTTAGGAGTTATAGTATTTCCAGATGGAGCAAAGTAAGTATTATATATAAGTTATTTTATATATAAAAAACTTTCTATTTTATTTTTTATGATTATCAATCTAATAATATTTTTTATTAGATATGAAGGTGAATTTATGCAAGGTTGGTTTCATGGTCATGGTGTGTTTTGGAGATCAGATGGTATGAAATTTGAAGGAGAATTTCGTGGTGGCCGTGTATGGGGATTAGGTATGCAAGATCTTAAATGTCAAACTTTTTATATTAAATTAATAAATTATTATTTTTAGGATTAGTTACATATGCTGATGGATCACATGGTTTCCCTAGAAATGAAGGTTTCTTTCAAGATTGTAAACTTGTACGTCGTAAACATTGCCCAGACATA